GAGCACTTAGAAAGATAAAACAGCGATAAATAAACAAWGGATGTTTTTAAGATATATCAGCAAAATTCATAAACTATGTAAATTTATTTCAATGTCGGTTTTGAGTTTATGTTGTATTTTCGCATTAATACACCGAATCTTTACTTTAGTATAATCGAACACAACTAGGACAAAAAATAGATAGAAAATATAGCCAACCAGGGGCATTTTTCTCAGCACATAGTGTATACGGATTGAAATAGCTATGGCTTACAAAAGATTTTGTGCTTCAAAACCTATTCAAAACAAAATAATAAAGTGTATTTTAGCTTACTATGCTAGATCGTTGATAACATTGGCAGAGTCGGTACTAGTGAGCCAAGACCGGTGAAAGGGAAACTTATTTTACTTGACGTTAGTATACTTTCATGAGCTATACTTTAGAGTCAGTGGTGGTCGAGGCGATACTGAGAGAAAAGGGAAAATTAACGTATAGTGGCTCATAAAAGTATTCTAAAGTCGAGTAAAATCAGTCTCACTTTCACCTGTCTTGGCTCACCGTACCGACTCTGCCAATTKTTTTCTTGATCTAGCATAGTAAGCCAACATAAAAGGGGAATAATCACGGCCGGCGCATGTTAGTAACTTTGCAGCAGAAGCGTAATAGCGTAATGCGCTAGAATTSCAGAGTAAAATCATAATGGGTGATTTGACAGACTGTTTGTAAKGGTAGTAAACACATATACTGCGTTATGTTTTCTATAGTATATTGTGCTGMAATGTGTACATAAGAGTATAGTAATTTGTTATTTAAATGTCCTCGTAGCGGTAAATCAAACTAAAACAATGTATGTTTAGAACGTCACATTTCCAACAGCTGAACAGCAGTTTACCGTGTCCTTCAACAAGGAAAATGTTGGCAATAAAATCGAGTCTTAAGACTTCAAGAAATTAGTTTAAAATATAGTTTCATTCAATGTCAGTTATGTATATACTTAACAAGCTGTCKTACGAATTATTTAACATATTGCACTTACTCGCTGAAGCAATCTAAAGACGAGGCACTCTTGGTCCTCCTCCGATGAATATTAAGACAAGCAACCTGACCAGTCTTATGTCTCTGCTCACCTCTGTAAAGTAAAGAAGAACTTTAGCTGTCTATCATTTTTTTTTAGAAGTAGGACGAAGGTGAATGATCGGCATTAAAAGATGAGATAGTTGTGGAAAAAAGATCAATAATATTGTTGTACCTTATAGGTTTAAATTTGCGTGGCCCTTAATTTTCTGTAGGGAACTCAACCTCCATGGTCCCAACTCCCTACAAAAATTACACTTGTAATGTTTTTTTAACCAACAAAAACGTCTCTTGAGGATATGGTTTTGAAAAGGTTCACCAGACAATCTAGACGACTAAGCAGCTGGCCTCGCCAAAATAAGAAAACAAACGAACTTGAGTTTTACATAATTTGGATAGCGTATCAGAGATGAATCGAAGAGCAATAACAAAAAAGCTTGAGCGTCAACAATGGTTTTCTTTGAGACTTGGAGATTCACTGGTTACATGCGACATATTTTAGAGATTTCACAAATTGGCCATTTTGATATATTGCTCTTAAAAAAATCAAAACTCAATCCAACAAAAAAAGCAAAACAAGTATTCATGAATATATGATTACAGATTATCTCACTTAGCAAATCTAACACTGAGCTGAGCTGCTCTTATGCCTTGATCGTCTCGTAACGAGAAAAAAACCTTTCAACCAAAAATGACGAATAAATTGTGTTTGTTCCTAAAAAAATTACGAACAATACGCAGAAGATATTATTTTACGCAAATTCTATTTAAATACACCACGGCTCCCTTTAGTCATTTCTCTCAATGTCAATATTGCGTAGCTATAAGTTCGTGTTAATTATAGGAAGAAAAGAAAGATAATTGACTAGCGCGAGTTTTTGTACCGCCTTGAACTTTCCTGGCGTCTTTATGAATATAAGCAAAGAAAAGGCCCGCCAGAGAAAAAGGGGGTTGTTTTTTCTTTTTCTTTTTTTCTTTTCAAGGCAACTGATAAAATAAACAAAAAATAGATTCCAATTTAMGCCGTGAAACTGAAAAAAGTCAATACCTCTTCCATGGGTTGTATAATACCATTGATACCGTACAGACTGAATTGAAGAATGATTAGCGGGAAAATTTAATCTCGGACGCCGATCTGCCAAAGATTGGTCGAATAGACTATCAGAAGAAAAAAATATAGTTCGTCTTATCAAGCTGATTATACATAATTGACCCAAAAATAAATTTCCACTGAACTTATGTAAGGCTATCTATAACTAGGTGATTTGTTTAGCCCTTTGCCTGTTTTGATTCCATTGAATATATCACAAATAACCCAAGTTATAAATTATTCTCGTTTCTGGAAGATTTAATTAAGATTTGAAAATTGATTTTCAGATAAAACTTCCCACATTAGGCAGAGTCTAGAATAGTTTTTCAAAATGTCAAAAACGGATTTCGACAGTTCGATTATCCTGTCAACTTGACGAAGAAGAAAAATCGACCGTATGAAGTGGAATTTAAAATTTAGAATTTAGAACTCTAAAACGCGGAAGAAGAAAAAAGAAAGAAAAAAAGAAACAAACAAACAAACAAACAAACAAACAAAGAGAGAGCGTGTGGATCAAGGACAAAACAAACCCATTTAGCGATATTATAGTTTCCCGAATTTTTATGATATTTCTTTTGGTGTAGACACTGGAGGTAGTTATTCATCGGGAGTTCAAATTCAGTAACAATTGAGTGTACAGTTATCTAAATTACCTTTAGTTTTGATGTGCTTAARAATCTCAGAAAAGACAACAAAGTATGATCTGAATTCCTTACATGTATTTATCCAACTGCTTTGCTTTTACAAACACTGTCCAACACCTTCTTTCTCACGTGAGGTAACACTTTAGTGCTGTTGGGAATCAATTGAACATTGGATAGCACTCGTTTGATACAAACTTTATCTTCCACTACTAGAGCCCGCAGGGTTGGTCGAGTGGCTGACGCATGCGCACCAAATTTAGAATCTAATCTCGTTTTTTGTCCAGCCGCAACTGAGAGCTGGAGGTGTTTATTAACACTTGAGAGCAAAACACTTGAATTTGAACGTGTACGTTTTTGTCGAACACGTTTAAAGCATTTGCATGTCAATAACGTCAATGAATGATTTTGATTAGCAAGTCGAAGGTAAATTAGCGCACGGATTAGTGGCGTCTAAGCCAAACGAGATTTGGGGATGTCGTTTTTCTTCTTTTCAATATCAAGTGTCGAAACCAAAGAATACAGACTACCGAAAAGAGAAAAAAAGATGGCACAAATGGGTCATTTATGATTATTAGCGTTGCCTGTTTATTAAATATGCTTAAGAAMGGACTACAATATACTGAAAAGGGCTAAAACAATTTGTGTTTCATAGTTAAGAATAATTGAATCTTCCTGGCGGGTTTTTTTCTAAGCACCTGCGGTTCCTTCCATTTCTTATCGGATATCTTTTTTCCACAACTGTGTGCAGTTAATCGAATTTCATAATAACCTTACTTATGCTAGCTCGATCGATCACGTTTCTAAATACCAAGACACAATATGTAACATTTTGGTATTTTTCTGAAAAGTTGATTTGTTATAATTTGTGGGGGGGGGGGGGGGGATGTCAACTATTTTTGGCCATCATGAGCTGCAGATTCTGGTATTCTAGAAGTAGGCGATTCACAGTAGGTTGGTCATGCGTTTCGGGTCTTGGGGTTGCGGCCGTATTGTTTGGTTCTTCCTTTTTTTCCCTTTAGTTTTTCTCTCTAATTACAATTTCTAGTTAAGCTGAGTCATACACTTTTAAAAGCTTTTCTCTTCCCATGTATGAAAATGCCTGCAAAAGGTCGCATTTGGGCCGGGTGTGAAATGTTTGCGTGGAGACCTGACTCGTTGGAAATRAAACGTGACTTCTATTCCAACAACTTGATTAGATAAACAGTAGTTGGTTCGAAGGGCCAACCAATGGGTATCTTTCTATGATTTTGAATACCTTACCACCACTACGAAAAGAGCGTTTGTCTAAAACTTTTGCAAACTAATTGGTTTAATTTCTACCAGATGGATAATCTGACTACAAGGCGCTGTTTATAAATGAAGTTTGATTACTCCAAGAAATTATTTCTAAGCTACAAGGGGTAAAAAAAACCCTCAGACTATAAATTACAGACCTAACATCCTTCTCGAACATGTTATTACGCTACTGTGAAGTGAATCCATGCAACGCCAAAAGCCAACCTGTCAATGTTAATCTTAACTGTGTGACTGAAAACGTATTCATGATCATGGGGCAAGAAGGTGTTTATCCTTTCAGTTAAACTCAGTGAACCGTTTTCGACTGTGGCATCTTACATCCTTGAAAAGAGWTTTGTTTGGTTGTTTAATAATATTTTTAGATCACGTCTCAATCCCTTAGTACCACTATTTCTTTTATTATCAGCCTATACTTTGAAGATGAATAAGAATATAAAACACTAATAAAGCCATGGGAAGCAAGAAGTAAGAATAATGTCCGACTGGACAAAGTCCTTTTCTGGTTGAATTTTCATACCATATTTTCTGAATCTACGCAGATAAATTAATCAAACAAAAAACCAAAATAAAATAAAA